TTATTTCTTATACTATTCATGCTTCTACATCTATCTCCATATACAAGAGGAATATTTTAGAAATAGAGAAAGTTTAATAGATAGGATATGATTTTAGAGGGTAAGCGAGTTTGTGATTATATAAGCCTTATATGAATACATAGAAAAATAATCAACAACCTACAGTAAATGTACGAAGACACCACATAAATATGATCCCTATCAAGAGTAGTAGAGCAGCAAATAGGTCATTGAGGACGACGGTGGGATTACGTTCTATAGGTATCCTTTCTAAATTAAAACTTAGTTCCAGTCAGGATATATCCGAAGAAATATCAAATGATAATTTACCAAAGGTTACTGGCAATGGGCCATTTATAGAATTACCGTCATTTAAGCCATTAGGAAATCCTAGCGACTTGCTTAATATTACATTGCCTCAGTCATCGAAATTAAGCATTAGAAATGGTACTATCATAGGGATAAATGGAGATTTGAAGAATCTATCAAGTGTTCCCCAAATATTACATAAAACCGAATATCAAGAATTAAAGTCTAATTCATCTGTATCGTTATTAATCAATGGGGGCATGAATAATTATTCAATAATTGAAGTAAACAGCATAGAGGACAAATGGACTATTTTGAATGATAAGAATATTATTGCATGGACCGGTTTTAATCTACAATTAAAACCGATAGAACTTCTTGAAAGGTGTAATAGTTTTCAGACCGATGGAAAAGGAATAATTATAGTGAATGGTGAGGAACAACTATTTGATGTCACATTAAGTCATAATGAACAGATTTTAATAAATCCAAATAGCTTAATTGCTTCTAACTCATCAATTAGCTATTCAACTCTTAACCGCCCTTGGACTGAGCCATTAAAATTTACTAGGAATTTTCAACTACCTACTATTTTCCATTCTTACATCAATAGTTTTAGATCATTCATCAGCTCGCAATATTCGAGAATAATTACGTCCCTTGGAATTATTAACCAAATGGAGATCTTAAAACGCTACTACAATTCTTTTAAACAGTTCATTACTTATAACGTTATCAACAAGTTCTACAATAAGCCAATCTATTTCAAAATTACTGGTCCTGGAAGATTGCTTCTTGATAATAATGTCCATCTTACGAACCGCAAAAATTTCACTAAGAAAGAAATTAATGATATCTTGAGAAGCTAAGGGATTTTAGGCGATATGCTTAGAGATAAATTGTCATTTACTCGTATATTTCTCTCAATAATTAATTAATTAATTAGATATATTAAATTCTAAAAATAAAAATTACAAAATTGAGCTTTTTGATTCTATTTGAAAAATTCTCCAGAAAACAAGGAAAATAGCACACCAATTTTTATCGACGAGTAAGTACATAAAAGAAACACTTATTAATTAATTTTTGCATAAATATAACCTTGGCTATTTCAATTCAACTTCTGTTATTCATTATTTATTTTAGATTATTTCAATTCGCTTCCGTTGAATTTATTACAACTCAATTAACCAAATATTTACCACAAGCCATTGCGAGATATTTATGGCTAAACTATAATGGAAATTTATAAGATAACCACACCAGGAGAGTGGAAATACTTTGCAAAAGGCAATGCTAATATATTATTTAAGTATACTGGTAGCAATGATTATTTAAGGCATAAACTATTAAGAGTCAGATTATTGAAGGAAGATGAACAATACATCTCTACTTGCGAACTATATGATTTTATTGAATTGAAATGCAAACCATTATTCCCTCATCAAATCATTGATATTCAGTTAGTAGTGTTGACAACTGATTTTGTTAACCAATTGAATAATGAAGGGAATAAATTAATGGTAAAGGAAAGATATGGACTATTATTACCAAATATACTAGATGGTGATTATTGTAAACAGTTCTTATCCAGAAATTGCCAACTATATGTTGGAACTAATACTACTGTTCAAGAAGCCGGCATAAGTAGGAATACAGTACCTAAAAAATTGAGTGGCTTACAAGATCAAGAACACAAGAAATCACAGAAACAAGACCAATTCAACAATGATATTGATTCAGTTATATTTGAAATAAAGCCAAAATGGTTATATGACAATATATCTTCAAATTATTGTCGAACTTGTCTGCTTAATCAACTAAGAGGGTTTCAAAGACATTTTTGTCCACTTGACTTATTGTATGAAGAAACAATTGATCAAGGCCTAAACGATATACTCCTGCTCATACCGCAAGATTTACTAATAGAGTTATCTGAAACCAATAAAATCCCTGTCAAGCAGTTATTTCGAATTTTTTTAAATAACCCAAATAACGTATTTCAGAAATTAAAGGAATATCAGAGAATAAATAATAAGAATGACTTGATTAAGAATATTACTTCCATATATGATGTCCTGCAGAACCTTTCGTTGGTAATGACTTTAAGAGATGTTGGGATATTTATTAAATTTGAAAAGTATAACAAGTATAATAATATCCATAATTCACACAACAACATTAATAATCTAATCAATATTGAAGGATATGGTAAATTTTTATTAACCTGTAACATATATGATTTAGATTTGAAATCGAAATTAAAATACAAACATTGGCTTGATACTGAACAGAAGTTGCAAAGTATATATAATTCTTCAAATCCGGATTGGAGGCATTGCGTCAAGGTTCATGATAATACTAATAACTTGGGAACATAAGAGTCTAATATAAATTTACGCTCGATCTATTAATATATGATATTTATGTTTATTTAATTAGACACATTTGATAGAATTTTAGTGTAATATTTTCTCTATATAATAAATTTCGTAGAAATTTTACGAATACCGCATCTACCATACATCTTCTTGAAATTTATTCTGAGTCTTAAACGATCTAATTAATTCAGCAGACTTTTCATCAGAAATATTTCTTCCTTTAGCTATGATCTTAGTCAAAGTACCCTGGACATCTCTTGCCATTTTAGATGCATCACCACAGACATATATAAAAGCGCCGTCATTTAATAATGAATTAATCTGTTCAGCGTTCTCTAATAACTTATGCTGAACATACTCTTTATTTTTAGGGTCCTTTCTTGAAAAAGCAACATTCATTTCAAATTGCGATCCTAAGGCTTGCGCATAGGATGGCCATTCATCCTTGTATAAGTAATCTTCATCTTCACTCCTACAGCCATAGAATAACATTATTTTACCGATGGTAGCATTATTAGTTTTAATTTGAGCAATCTTTTCTCTAATAAAACCTCTAAAAGGAGCAATACCAGTACCAGGACCAATACAAATTATTGGGGTTGAAGGGTTGCTAGGTAACTTAAACGTTGATCTTCTAACATGTACAGGTAACTTATAATTCGAGAATTTGTTTCTAGGTCCCTTCAAATCGTATATAACAGTGGGTTTATCGGACTTATTATTTTGTTCAATTTCCATATTCTTTAATAAGTTGGTGACAACCCCCGTAACTAATTGATTCCCTATTGTCTCAGATTCGACTACTGCTGTAACATGTATAGTAGTTTTTTCGGACAAAGACGACGAAGAAATCGAATAGTAACGTGCCTGCAAATGTGGAACAGATTCTATAATAAATTCAAAGGGAACATTAATCCATGGCTTTCCATTTGAAATCTTTAATAAAGCGTCCGCCATGTTGTAACATTTTTCATGAATCTCTGTAGCAAACAGCTCTTTGCTATTACCTAATCTTAAGGCCTCCTTCTTTGTTTCTTCATCTGGGGCAAACTGGGCAATTGATAATAAAAACTGTCTGGAGACGTCACCAGAAATTTCTAAGTGATGTCTAACAACAGCACCATACGTAATCGGAGTATGGAAAGGAATTGCTACTGTTGAATCTGCCGCCTTGAGTTCAAAAACGTTATCTGCCTTATCATACAAATCAAATGCTTCAAAGAACTTTTCAATATTTTCATTTGCGTTTGATGGCCAGATGGCTAAATGATCACCTGTCGAATATCTCAAGTTAGTTCCCGATAAATCAAATTCTGCATGAACACAAGACCTTGTCTTTGAATTGAATAATTCTCGAGTTTTTACAACTTTCGATAAAAATGGATGAGCGTGATCAAATGGACCCTTTGACAAATCTACCGAATTAGATACATATGCGGAGTTTGGTTCACCATGTGAAACTACGGCATCATCGATCGAATGAACCGATTCAATCAAATTCAAACTTGGTTGATAGATGGCTTCGTGTTCTTCAAAATTTAAATTATTCTTTAAAGAATCAATGACCAAATCTTTCCAACTTAAGAAATCTTCATCCATGGTGCCCAAACCATCGTCTCCTTCTCCGTAAGCACTGAATCTTTCTGCTCCTAACTCTTGTAACCTTTCGTTGGTCTTCTTACCTATGGCATTGTAAAACTCGTACGTTGAGTTACCTAATCCGAACACGGAGAATCGTAATGTCGAGAGGGTGTCTGCCTCGTTGTCTAAGAAATTGAAAAACTCAATAGCGTTGTCTGTTGGCTCCCCTTCACCATAAGTAGCCATCAAAAAGAAGCACAATACATCTTCACTAATTTCTGCAAAGTTATCAAAATCGTAGTCCGCAAAGTCCACTGTCATCGACTTTAACCCGAACCTCGAGCCTAATTCCTTAGACAACTTGGACGCGTAGTCTTCAGCGGTTCCTGTTTGACTTCCGTAAAAAATAACACAATTCTTATTGTTTTTATTCAATGTTTCTAGCAAATTCCTAGAATGGCCTCCAGCAGAAACATTGGCAACAAAACCGGCCGATGTCCCATCGTCTCCAGGCCAGATTTTATCCTTTCCAAAATATGCCAAAATGGCAAGCGCCAACGCTACCATTACAGAATAATCTAAAGTATCTAAAGCCATTATAAATATATGTTATGAATATATCAAATGATTTGTCTATTTCTAATAAAACAATTATTTTGATTTAGGTGTAAATAGTTGGAAATCAAGTCGTGAATATCTTTCGATTTTATTATACGATCGTACTCAAAAATGCGTGTGATATTCTTTCTTATAAAGTTGGGGCCAATAGAACAATCTTGTGAAAGATCGGACTCCATTTAACGTTTTACCCCTAAATATAAATTTATATACCAATACTACATACAATTCTCTTTTATAAATGATCTTATGCAATCTGTTGAATTAATTGAAATATGGTCGTATTATGCATGTGTCAGCAGCGACGCACTACTACGGTCTCTGGCCGCAACAACTGAACTCAGGATACTTGCGTAAGCCAGTATCACAGATCTAATTGAATGTCTCAGGTGACCGTATAATCTGTGGATTCAACTCATGATGAGTCTCTGGCGTCTGGTTCATTTACGGGGTTCAGATCTTGATTATCTAGTTCTTGAGTAGGGGTTTGTTCAGGTACCAGAGCCGGTGTCACATCTAATGATATACCATACGCCTTTTCTATTGTTGACAACGCTTTTTTTTCGGTATCGATGTCAAAGTCATCTCCGTAAACGGCTTTGATATATTCAAACACCGAGAGTGGTGTAAACTCGACTAGACAACGTCTTCCTAATTTATAGTCGATATTTTCGACATTATTGGAATCCTTCTGTATTTCTTTATCTAAATATTCCCTTTTGACGAGTTCACTGATGAGGTCGGGTAAACTGGCATTGAAACTAGAGTTTTTAGAATTAGGTTGGTCGGATAGGCCAAAGCGCTTTAGGCCATTACCCAATTCGTATTCCGAGATGTGATTCTCTGATATTATGAGGAGCGACATGATTAATAACGTCACTCCTGTTTTAACCATGTCAACATTAGATCCCAAACTCGACGTCTTATTGTACTTGGGTAAAAAGTACTGATTGTCACCACTATTTCTGTTGTTTGGTACTCCAGCTTCGCTATCCGTAAGCCAAATTTCCTGTAACACACCGCGGCCCTCAGGACTCAAGCAATTCGTTAACATCAATTGCTGTTTCCCATTACTCTGGCTTGACTTATTCTTCTTGTCTGCTCCTTTTGGTGGCACAACTACTAGTGTAAGCCCGTACACATCCTTTAAAGTATGTTTCACCCTAGTCATCAATGCATCATAGTTAATTCGGCGGTTCGAATATAGTTGTGTGATGTGTTCTCTTCTAATAATCTGACTTTTCAATTCTCTGCCCATGACGTACCGTATCACTTGATTCTCAACGTCTTGAAATTCATTATCATAATGTCTAGTAGGTTCATATTCCGATTCTTCTGAATCTGACTCGAATACTCCTGATTCTTCTAATTCTGCTTGTGATATCGTTCTTTTAGGCATCTTATCACGTTGATTCGCTTTTTAGCATACTAGACAAGTATAATTTTTATTCTCATAAAATTTCACCTACCTCAATGTTTACATAAGTGTTATTGTTTAGTATGCATCCCCGGGATTATATACAATCCATGGTCTTTAAAATACGGCATAAGTGGTTGGATGAATCATACACGGGAAGTACCTCCACAATTCATTTTATTTGTATAAATACCCCCACAAATTATGGAATGAAAAATTTCCACGAATAATTGCTTATGAGAAATTTGTAAAAGCTTATAGATATCTGTAAAGTAGGCAATGAAAGGAAGTTTAGTAACGGATTTTATAAAGTTCAATTCACGGAGGTCAACCGTGTACTCTACCAAGGGGATGGTTGTCTCATCCCAAGCATTGGCCAATCACGCAGGTATTAAAATATTGTCCAAAGGAGGCAATTGTGTTGATGCAGCAATTGCTGTTTCTGCAGCATTGTGTGTTGTTGAGCCAGGCTCCACTGGTATTGGAGGTGATTGCTTTTCGTTATATTACAAACGTGAGACTAAGGAAGTCCATGGCATGAATGGTACTGGGAGATCAGCCAAAAACTTGACCATTCAAAATATCTGTGATCGCTACAATAATGGCCAGCCAATGAAAAGAATTCCTCCTGAGTCTGTATTGACGGTAAATGTTCCTGGTGCAGTGGCCGGGTGGGTGGATTCATATGAAAATTGGGGATCTAAGAATGTAACTCTTCAAGAGATCTTGGAACCAGCAACTTCGCTAGCCGAAGATGGATTCCCAGTCTGTGAGATAGCATCTCTATTATGGAAAAGTGCCGAGGATAAGCTTAAAAAACAAAATCCGGATCCTAAACTTATTGAAAACATGTTCCTTTTTGGGAATGCGGCCCCAAAGGAAGGAGACTTCGTTACTAATAAACCGCTTGCTAAGGCATTTAGGGCTATTGCTAAAGGTGGTAAGGAAGGTTTTTATCAAGGTCCAGTAGCGGAAGCAATTATTAGAGAAACATCGTCTAGAGATCATAAATTAGACTTGAAAGATTTAGCGACCCATACATCGACTGTTGTGGACCCAATTAATACTAAATTCGAAGATTACAAAGTATGGGAGATTCCTCCTAACGGTCAGGGTTTAGTTGCATTGTTGTCTTTAGGAATTATTCAGCAGCTTCATAAAAGTGGCAAGATCGATTTGTATAAATTGAAACATAACTCAGCAGAGTACCTCCATATTTTAATTGAGGCATCGAAAATTGCGTTTTATGATTCGGATGAATATGTTACAGATCCTGAATTTTCAAAAATCCCACTTGATGACCTCTTGAGTGAGTCCTACTTGAAAAAAAGAGCGGAATTATTCAGCATGGATAAAATATTGGATAGTAGTGTTATCGAGCACGGCGTACCTAACCCCAGATATAAATCGGACACTGTATACCTTGCAGTTACTGATTCTAATGGAGATGCTTGCTCATTTATCAATTCTGTATATGATGATTTTGGTTCTGGTATCGCTGTACCAGATTACGGATTTTGTTTGCACAACAGAGGAGCTAATTTCAACTTAACTCCAGATCTTAAAAATTGCTTTGAAGGAGGTAAGAGACCTTACCATACAATTATTCCTTCATTAATTACAAATTCAAAAGATGATTCTTTATTTGCTGCATTCGGTAACATGGGTGGTTACATGCAGCCAGTCGGTCAAGTGCAACATGTCTTGAATTTATGTGTATTTGGTCTCACCCCTCAACAACTGATTGATCTGCCAAGGTTTTGTCTCAATGCTACAAAAGATAGAATAGACTCAGATAGAGGTAAAGGCAGTGATGGGCCAGTATCAACGGATGTGACTGAAGTTGCGTTAGAAGATGGAATTGATCCAAGTGTTGTTGAAGAATTATCAAAATTGGGACATACTACAAAGGTAGTTACTGGGCATAACAGAAGATTGTTTGGACGTGCTCAAATAATCCAGGATATGTCTAAAGATGGTCAGTTAATATATGCTGCTGGTTCAGACTTGCGAGGCGATGGAGCTGCTGCACCATTCTTTTAGTAACGTTCAGAAATCACATACTAGATATATCCATTCATTTCGATGAAATAAAATGGTTGTATAGTGTAGTGGTTATCACTTTCGGTTTTGATCCGAACAACCCCGGTTCGAATCCGGGTACGACCTATATCTAATTTTTTAATACTTCTTAGTCTGATTATTGACTACAACGAATACAAGATGTAATATTTTATTTCTACCAATGTAGATCCCATTTTCTTGAGCAATATATTCTTCTAGGTTTTCTGTAAGCAATTTTTTAGAATATAACACCTAATCAACCATATCTTGAATCAATAGCTGAGGCTTACGTGCGACAACCGATATACCGAGGTCAGGACTCCATATTTTAGCGTATGATAGAGTAGAATGAACAACATTCATCTTGTCAGGAAACTTATGATATAGCTCATAGAGATTGTATAATGTCAGACGATGTTAAAAATCCGATAAATGACATTGATGAAATGCTAGAGAAGGTTTCATTAACTAAGTCAGAAAGCATTTATTGTCGCTATGATGATAAAATTAAAATTACAGACTACGCAACTTCATTCAATTCGATTAATCATAACGCTAAACCAGACTTAAGAAACATTAAATATAAGACGTCTACAGAACATTTGAATTGTCCTGTCTGTCAACAACCATTTTTAGAGCCACTAACAACGATATGCGGGCATACGTTTTGTAAAAGCTGCATTTATGAATGCTTCAAAGCATTCAACGGGAATATTAACGATGACTTGAAAGGGTCATGTCCATTGGATAGGACACCTTTGGATGCATCCAATGTGAACGATTTGTTCCCCACGCCTTTGCTTGTTACCAATTTAATTGATGACCTTCAAGTGTACTGTTTGAATCATGAAAGAGGCTGCAAATGGACTGGATGTCGCTGGGAGTTGGAACATCATGTAATATCGGATTGTGGCTATACAGGTGTTCAGTGTAATGGGAAAAGAGGTATAATGAAGAATAATGAAGAAGACAACGATAACAATGTTGATGATGATTACGATAATGACGAAATTTGCACTATGATAGTAGAACGAAGATTTCTTTCTGATAGTGAAACTAAATGTATACATGAAATATTCCCCTGCGAATATTGTAATGCCGATCTTACAAAGATATCTGAGGAGCTGCATTTATCAGATGAATGTATATACAATTATCAGACATGTGAATTGTGTTTAAACGATATGATACCGCTCAAACATTTAAATAAACATAAAGAGAATTGTTCCAAGATTCGGCATTTCAAGTGTCCAGCTCGCGAAATTGGTTGTAGCTGGATAGGAAATAATGAACCAGCCTTGGAAATTCATTTACAAAAAAATAATTGTCAATTAAACCAGTTATTACCATATATTAATAGGCTTAATGACAAGATAGATTCTGTATCAACAGAGAACAATTTTTTACAGAAGCAAATCAATAAGATTTTAAGTCTGATAATTCAGGGTAAGATAACAAATTTAGGCTACAATGAACCGATTGAAGAAATAAACAAATATAATTCCTCAATTACGTCGTTGGAAGATCAGGATAAATTGATCTATCTAAATTATGAGATTGATAGGTTAAAATTCGAAATGGAAGAAAAAGTAATCCCGTTTATAAATAGAGAAAACTCATCTTTAACTGATAGAAAATCAATAATCAATGGATTGGTTAATGACAATTTTATGATGAAAGATGATTTAAGTTTGCAAAGGGTTTTGATTAATAGTTTACGAAAGCAGTTGCAATTTTTACTATTTACAAGAAATTCGAGAAATATGAATAGTTCAACTTTAAATTCAAGCATGGATCCGGAAAACTTAGATCTCTTTGATATGCCATCAAGAAATAATTCTGAGGAGAGGCTAAACCTCAAACTATAATTATATCGTTAGTTATTTAATTTGGTATATATTATTTCTGTATGAAATTCTAAACCACAATTATTTCGCAATTTTTTTAAAATTCTGTAATTTTTGCACCTTTACTAAAACTTATTTATAAATCTAAAATACTTCAACACAAGAAAACAACTAAAAAAATATATATAAATTTAAATACGCAAGAGGGACTTCAGTAAACGAACAAGATTCATCACCATAAACTAGGGAAGTCTTCCCAGTCGTTATTTTCTCTTCTATTCCAATAACTCTTTTCACCTGTGATATAAATCCATTCACCAGTTTCTGGAGACTTTTCATCACCAGCAACCTGCGTGAAAAATTTAGGCTTATAAGTTTTTCCACTAACATCTAGTTCCTTTCTTTTTTCTCTTTGCATGTCTTCAATACTAACCTTAAGCGCTTCAGCCTTCGGTACATCACCACTTCTATATACCAAGATATCTGGTCTCAATCTTGTATCTGTTGGTGGCAAGTGACCACGTTCAATATCTGTGATTTTATTCAACGAACCAGCATATTTAGTAAAACCATACTTCTTGGTGTAGTTGGGCAACAATTCTCCAACGGTCCAAATTAATTTTTCTGTTGTATTGGTTTTCAAAGTCAATGATTCAGTCCATTTACCGGTAACTGAATATGGCAACTCTTTTTTATTTGGACCAATTGATTTAATGGTTAAATCTTCGGATCTTCCACTAAACATACCACTTTTTGCAAATTCAACGATTGCTTTGAACCCAGTAGAAGATTTTACAATAATTTCGGAAGACGGCTCTGAATATTTTTCACCGGCGATAATATTTTTCAATAGGGTTATTGGTTGGTTCCATGTGAATAATTCACCAGTAGATCTGATCGTTAATTTGCATATACCATTTGTAAAAACTTCAAAGTTTTTACCCCAGAACTTTTGATTTGGAGCAGGACTAAATGAGAAGGACCAATCTTTTGATTCAGCAAACATTGCAAAAACTGGCGGCCTATGGCTCACTTTTTCACTTATTAATCGTATGCCATGGTCTTCACGGACCAATTCATATGTTTCTCCTAATAATGGATTGAATGGCTTACGTGCGTTTCTTTCCTTAACCCTCATAGGAGAAAGAAAACTTACTGCAAAAGCTGCTATTCGTAGTATCCTTTCACCGGTTTCATCCTCGCAAGTTACCTGCAACGCATTATCAATCAATTCACTATATTCAAATATTTCCGCATACTTCTGTAAAATAGAAATTGGTTCATTGATGTCAACAGGCATACGAAGCGTCGACAAATCTTTCCCAACATTCTTTCTTACAAATCCTAATATACTAGGTGGTTGGTGATTGCAAACAGGGATATCATAATCACGTTCAACTGGATCATGAGGCAAAGGATACAAATTATCATCATTGTCATTCGAAGCAGGCTCCGCTATTGAGTTGTTAATAACGGTCGTTTCAAGGTAATCATCATCATCATCATCATTTGACCCAGAGTACGAGGAAGACGAAGAAAGTGATTCTTGATCTTCATCCTCATCAGCACTTTCATCCGAGTATGTGTTAATTGATTGCTTTGTATTTGGCTTATCCAATAACACTACACCAGAATTCATTGCATCTATGTATTCTTTGGCATCGTAAAATTCATTAGAAGAAAAGACGGAATGTACATCACCCGCAGATCCTCGTGTGACTCCATTAGTTGATATAGCAGACTTCAATTTATCAAGTACGTGTTCTATGTCGTCAGAAATTCCCAGGATATTTAAAATCAATGATTCTGATGACGCATCATTCTTAAATTTTAAAGTGTTTAACTTCTGAGAAATTGTTTCTAAATCACGTACCACAGAAGCACTGTCAGACTTAACAGGTCTCTTTTCATGAATATCACTGTCGCAAGCATACTGCGATTTCTTAACTTCATTGAAAGCTTCGACCCACAAATTAAAGTCTTGTGTATTGACTGTTTTCAAACACCAAGCTTCCATTCCTGAATCAATGATAATTTCTCTCTTTTTTGCGTTTGCGCTGACTATAGACTGCTTTATTGGCATTTGTCCCCTCAATTTATTATCGTTCACTCTGAAGTACGATAATGTACCATGATGAAAATTAAGTATGAAAAATCTCTTCACAAAACCTTGGAGCTTCTTTCTTCTCTTCTTCAATAGTACGGATTGTAATAATTCTTCGTTGTTGGCCCTGGAGCTATTGGGTGTTGGGACTTGCAAGTCTTGACCTCCAGAACTTTCACCATTGCGAAGTTTCAATTCAGTACTGGATTTCCTTTGAATAGTCAGCTTGCGTCTATAAATACTATTTTTGTCAGGACTAGCAAACAAGATTTTCGAAGTGAATAAAATCTTCTTCAGAATAGTCTTGGAAAACGAGTTATCAAATATAAATGCAAAAACACCCCCCTTCTCGATTTCGTACTTTCCATGGACTAACTCGTCAGATATCAATTTCTTATAGTCTTTCACCAAAGTCAAGTCAGAGTGATTCAAATTATTAGTAAATGTATTTGACCGTGACCGTGTCTTGTACACGCTGGAATTGGCCAAGTTGACAGACGAAATGTTACTTCCTAAACTATCCACACTCCCATTCAAAACATCATCCTTAGTTAAAGATGATGTTGATCGTGGAATTGGGTTTTCCGATCCTTCCTTTGTACCTTCCGACGATTCATTTTTACGATAAATCGCAAAATTGATCGATTTCTTCAATGGCTTGACCTGCCAGTCAATTATACTATTATCGGGAGCATACACCCATTTAACTAAAAAATCTTTAGAATGAACTTCTAACGTTTCCATACCGGATTGATGTACGTAGTGTATCTTTATTATACCTCAAATTTGTTGACTTTTCACCGCTTTATATCCGTTTGTTCATCAACCTTGACATATGATATTGAGTCTCCACTTGTAATAATAGCAATTATATACAGTATTTCAATTGATAACACATGCAATAGTAATTTGACGAAAAAGTTATCTCATAAGAAAGGTTTTGTGGTCTAGTTGGTTATGGCATCTGCTTAACACGCAGAACGTCCCCAGTTCGATCCTGGGCAAAATCATTCTTTTTTTTTTCACCATCGCGGAATTTAATCGGAGTCACAAGAGATAAGACTGGAGTTCTTTTATCTTCAATTCCAATACATATAACCATGATACAAATATACACGTAGTATTTATTTTCTCTGTAAGCTTAAATATAATTAAACAATCAAGCAATAGAAAATGGCTTCTACGGTCGTTCAAATGTCGGGAATTGATTATCGTTCATGAAAAATTGATTGCAAAAGATTTCCGTGGGGATAGTATAATGCAACAATGTTACTTTATAACGATATACAGTTTGAAAGTATATATATTACGTCATATTAACGTGAATAGAAAGATTTACATCTTTATCAACAAATAATCTTACCGATAAGTTCGGGGAAGCCACATTTGGAGAAACCGGGAAAAAAAAACCGCCGACTATAAATAATAGAAATTTCGCATCTATACGAAGATTTTTTGAAAGCCTTACGATATTGCAGATAAGAATTAGCGGAATGGTGAGAGTAGAAGACCAAACACTAAATCCTAATATTATTACAGACCAGTCGGCAGGAGAAGCAGGGATAATTGCTGGAGACATTGCAGGAGAAACTGATGAATTGATAAATAAGTCAAAAGATGCTAGCTATAATTCGATAAATGGAGCCTCAAATTCGGACGAAAATTATGATGAAAGTGAATATGCATTGCCTAAAGCACAGTTGTATACTATTGTATCTGGGTTGTTTATGGCATCGTTTTTGGCAGCATTGGACACAACTGTGGTTACAACCTTATTGACAGTGATCGCTTCGGATTTAAATGCGGTGTCCAATATTTCATGGATTGCCACGGCATACCTATTATCATGTTCTGCATTCCAACCTCTATTTGGAAAATTGTCTGATATATTTGGTAGAAAAATTTTATTGGTACTTTGTAGCATTTTTTTTCTGATCGGATGTATGGTTTGCGTTACGGATTCGTTAATGTGGCTAGTTGCAGGAAGATTTATTACTGGGATTGGTGGTTCTGGATTAACCACTTTAGGGACTATAACGATGTCGGATTTGATTCCATTGAGAGATAGGGGCTTATACCAAGGCTTGGCTAATGTTTTTTTCAGTCTTGGGGCTGCATCGGGAGGAATATTAGGTGGTATTGTTGCGGATACATTGGGTTGGAAATATGTATTTATTTTACAAGTTCCCTTAGGTGCATTAGTAGGAATTGTCATCTGGTGGAACTTGAATTTGCCGAAGGGCTCTCCTGGATTAGGGACGCCTGGAGTAGACATTAAATCTAAGTTAAAGCGTATTGATTTTTTGGGTTCTTTCTTTTTGATTACATCGCTTATGGGCATTATGATTGCCGCTTCGTTAGGTGGTAGGGAGATTGCTTACAATTCTTATACGTTCATTGGTTTGGTAATTGTATCGTTTCTTTTATTAGGATCTTTCCTTTATACTGAGGCTTATATTTCTGCGGAACCTATATTGCCAATTGAATTGATAACTGAAAGAACAATTTTATCATCATCTTTAACAAATTGGTTCTACACTATGGCTATTTTTCTGAATTTGTATTATTTGCCAGTATATTTCACCTCCGTCATGGGGTTTTCTGCTACCCAAAATGGTTTACGGTTGATCCCTAATTTCTTCGGAGTTTCCATAGGCTCAATTAGTGCTGGTATATATATGAAACGTACAGGCCGTTATTATAAATTAGCTATATTAATGGGCATTCTTTCCATTCTTGGTTTTGCTAATATTATCTTCATTAACCCAAATGTTTCCGAATTCCGTCAATTTACCTTTTTGTTACCATCTGGGTTTGGTTATGCGGCCATGCTAACCGTTACGCTTTTGTCGTTGATTGCAGCTGTTCCAACAGAATTCCAAGCATGTACGACCTCAATTCAATATACTTTCAGATCTACAGGTTCAACTTTAGGTGTTTCAATGGCATCAGCTATTTTCCAGAATATTTTAAAAGGCCAATTAACTACTAAGGTTCACGATATAGTTCCTAATATCCATAAAGCTGACAAAATCATTGCCAAAGCATTGGAAAGTACCAACTATATTAAAGAAGCTCCAAAGATTGTGCAAGGCGCGCTTAAAGAATCATATGGGTTGGCTTGTAAGGGAGCGTTTGGCTTTAGTTTAGTTACAATAGTTTTAGGTGTCGCTTGCTCCTTGTTCATGAGAGAACATGTTTTACATACAAGCATAAATAGGGGATGATAATGTTTGCATAGTTTATATAGGTTTGTACTATAAAATAGAGTAAGACAAAATTATATCGTATTGGGTACTATGAGACTCGGGATTAAGATAAGCAAATCGTAGAATCTAAGATCAAAAGGTACATTCTGCGGATCCGATAGAATTTATATTAACCATGTTATTTAATATTATGGTGTATATAGTAAAATCTAACTTTTAATGCTTTAGTTTCTTGTTGTTCTGATATTTATTAAGATAAGTGATATTAGCACACTTATGACACCTAGAAAATAAACTAGAGGAGAACCTGGACTAGAGGTTGTTCCATATAATCTCGAAAGAGCATAATCACACATAATCGTAATAGGAATTGAGGTTGTAAATGCCAACGATGTGAAAAAAGGACTAGTTAGCAACATCGCTAAAATAGCAGTATAATCAGATATCACTGAGAATAAGCCATTTATTATAATCAGAATGACTATTTGCTTGTTGGGAGGTGGAAGTTCAAATTTTTCCACTTCAAAATAGTCAATTAGAAACAATATGGGAATTCCTATTAAAAATGTGAATAAACCAACAAAACCAAAAAGCCGTCTCTTGTTAGTAGTCTTCTTGGCTATACTATATTTTAGTTTCATCATAATGAGATATAGAGCATACATTAGTGCTCCGCAAATAGCTAGGGTATTACCTAATATTGGGTTCTTTGGTTTAAATATTGGAGATTCGGTATCGTCTTTCTCGTTTGATTCACTAAAATTGATCAAAAGAATACCTATAGTACTAAATATGATACAGAGCCCTTTTTTGAAAGTAAAATAATCAATCTTAAGAAAGGTTCCTATAATCAATGTGAAAGAAGATGTAGTGGTCCCTAATATGGCTTGGTTTGATGCTGATGTAAACTGCAAACATACCATGACAAAAACATTGTATAGATAGTATATTATAGCTATCTGAAGTGACAATACCGTAATTTCTTTCTTTGTCATTTCGATCGGAATACCTGAAAGCTGATCTTCATTGACCAACTCATCCAATGATTTGTAGTCAACCAGCAGATCAGAATTAGATAACAATGTCGAAAGTTCTGGTGAAGACAGATAATCATATTTTTTATTCATAAAAATATGAAGAATATCAAGTAACAACAATGAACTAAAGCAGGATCCAGTAATAAATGCAAACATCCATGGCTTAGTATAATTGTCCCCCTTCAAAACAATATTTACCAATTCAATGCCAATAACTCCTGTCACGATTGAAAACACAATAAAGAACAATCCCCATCTAAAGTTTCTTGCTTGAGTTTTAGAGGGTATTTCAATTGAATTTATGCAATTTTGTGAAATATTTTGATCTTCAGGATGCAGAAGTTGACTAATTAGGAGCGGCGATCTAATGAAAAGTGACACCGAAGGTGAATTAGGTTCTGTAATTATCATCCTATTTCTATAATAAATTAATAAATAATAAATAATATATTTGGATCGAAAGAACCCTAATTATTTGTATATCTTATCTTCATCATGAAATCTACTGATAAGAACATTTCGCATCAATTCGCAACTATCGCGATCTAGAAATAATTTGCGGCTTAGAGGAAATGGGTCATGACGAAAGATTGAGCTATCAAATTAAGTATGGAATACGTCTATTTCAGATCAGTGTTGAGCGTTAGGATATTACATACTAATATGTCCAGCCATAAGTAGCTGCTAATCTCTTATCCAAATGCTCCTTTGCAGTTAACAAAGTTGAGTCTTTGTTAGCTCCTCTACCCTTTCTGGACCTAACAAGTTCACTAGGTACCGGCTCTAAAAGGGACTCATCATTTGGATGACTGAAAAATACAATTGAGTAACGATCCTGATCTGTTTCTTGAAACTTAGCTGGGAATCTCACTCTATGGATTGTAGATTTGAGTAAGCCAGCAGTCCAATAACTCAATTGATCAGCAATATTCACCACAATTGGAGGTGCTGCATTTGGGAATTTCTGGGAGTTAGCAGGTAAAAATGGTACTGCCTCCCACTGTTTTGATACAGGCGAGTAGATTTCTAAACCTTCTTGATTTTCTTGTTGAAATAACAATGTCATAGAACCGTAGTCAGTGTGAGCACCAGCTCTAATAACTGCCTCAGGATTAAGGCTTTTCTGTCCTGGGTAATGTAAAAATCTAAATGTAGAGCCTGATTCCTTAGTCGCTAAGAACTTTGAATTAAACCAGTCAATTCCCTTACATTCATCGGTGTCCTCAATCTTCAATCCAAGTGCTAAAAGGTTAAGAATTTTGATTGATAAACCATATAGCTTCTTAATAGTCGACTGCACCAATTTCAAACGATTTGGATCTTCATTGAACCAATCTGGAATAGCACGCGAAGAAAGTCCACTCAAGAAGTTCAAACAGCAAAAGTTAAGTGCTTCTTTTGGATCACCCTTTTTTTGACTTGAAGGATCTAAATTTTCCCCTCCGTAGTTAGTATACCCATGATTACTACTGTCTATTAAGTATTTTCCCTTATACGAGTCAGGAAGCGCAAAAAATTGTTTTGATACTTCGAATAGCATGTCCACTTCTTCCTGTGTGAAATCATGACCTTCGATAAATAAAAATCCTTGACTTGTTGCAGCACCTAACAACTCTTCTGCCGTTTCATGATCAACAGTGGTGACATCAACGATTTTTAAGGGGTTTGAAGTACTCGAACTCATATTGTCAAATTATAATCATATATTTTTCCAGGTAGTTAATGTTCTAAATTATATAGAAATTGAAAATTTATTTTCACGCACATCGCCGACAAATTAATTTTAGTAAAACCAGAGTCAACTGGTTTATAGATCTAGTTAGTTCATAATTATTCGTGTATTCCATATTGAAGAATCCATATCCTAAATAAGGCTATCTTTTTGCTGTAGATCATTTTGTAAGTAGGGTATGGTAGGTTCAAAAACACGTCCAAAAGTCGTGTATGGTAGGGCAAACTATCAACAAAAATACTCCAAAAATTAAATAAAGACCAAGCATTTCGTAGTTCATTTTTATTGATATCATGTCGGATGTTATAAATACTAGCGAGGACGTACCTATAATGCGTGGGAATATTGTACCATGCCATATACAATATAGTGGAGCTGCCAATACCAAGGACTATTTCACACCAAGTAAAAAACAAGATACTTTACCAACTGGTGAGCAGGTAGAAGTAGCATATTTTAGAGGATGCAAATTAGTAGGCAAAAACATGAATATTTCCAATGACTATAGTGGCTACTTAATCAATAAATTTGAAAGTTTGGCCAGGGTAGAAAATGAAACATCTGAGGATTATTTAACAGTGAATACATATACGCCGGTAGCAGAGTTTGAGGAAATTACTGTTTATGGCCATGATACTGTGCCTGAACTGACAAGTCAATGGGGGTTGATACAAGAATGGAAGGATATAAGTGACGTGATCCATTCTTAGTTACTATTTAATAAACATTTTGCATCTGATATTATGGTCTTTTGGTTTGATCACGTGTAAGATATATAAAAGTGTATCGTAGTAACGAATTGATTTATCCCTGATGAGTTCTTCTTTGTTATGGATTATACTTCAGCACCTAATGATGAAGAACTATTTCTTTCAGAAAGTGACTCTGAAGATGAATTTTGCTTGAAACGGAGAAAAATTGACGAGAATGAGAGCTTCTACGATTCTGAGAATGATTTTAGTGATTGGGAAGATGTTCCATTAAATAATACAGACGTTTTAGATTCCTTTAATATAACAATAGGTGGCTCTAAGATAAGCGAGCTAGAAAAGGACAACAGAAATAGACTAAGGACAGCTATAGAGAACAAACAAAGAAGGAAAACTATTCATTATCTTGGAATGATATCATATATGATGCATGGGTTTCAACGGAATAAATGGCTAAATTCAAAAGATCTCTTAAAGAAACTAAAGAAAATGTTACCAGAGTCTCTTATTAAAACGAAGTTCAAGAAGTATAAAAGAGCACTAAAAAAGTTTAAATTAGCACCAACAGATGCATCCTTGAAAGATGAAGTTTATGCTCATTTCATATATATCGTTAAGTACTTGGTTAAGTGGTTTAGACTCAATTATAAATGTGATTCAAATGGTTTAAGAGTCCTAGGGTATCTACCTCGAAAGTCGTCTGCTTTTGACAATATGAATGATTATTTTCCTAATTCGTCTGAGCCAATAAAAGACTTGAAAGACTTAATTTCAAAGGCTAAAAAATTCAAACATAATAGGGATACAGGAGCTCAAATATTCACTGCTTTATTGAGATCACTAGGTTTTCAAAGTCGGCTTGTTTTCTCATTGCCTCTATTATCCACCAATAATCCAACAAAAACTCAACCAAAACTAGATCATGATAAGTTACAGAGAAATAAGGATTTTGATTTATTATACCCTTATTATTGGACGGAAGTGGTTAATCCGGCTGATGAAAGTGAAATATTTGTCATTGAAAATATATGCTTTTTTGAAGAAGCCAAAAGATTTGTAAGTTTAAAGAGATTTGCTAGATCCACTATCTCGAAAGAAAATTTATCTAATTATTACACAGATATTTACTTTCCTTTACAAAATCAGTTCAACCAAATGCCAATGCATTATGTTGTTGCTATGGATAATGACAACTTGATAATGGATGTGAGTCCTCGATATATGTCAGATATAAGCTATAGATGGTTTAAAAAATTAGACCTTAGGACTGATCTGGGAAGAGAAGCGATGTTATTTCAATCTATGTTAAGGTACTTGAATATTGGTAACGCGTACCATATTACTAACAACATGGAGCTAGATACATTAAGACAGACTGCTCTATTGAATTATAATATACCTTCCAAATTCTCTTCAATGAAGAGGAATCCTAACCTAGTTACGAAGTCGACTCTTAGATATAATGAGATTATTGAGCCTAATACAACGCCTATTTGTACCGTCATGATAGATAAAACGTTTCTGAAGGAGCCAATATTT